ACAGACCACAATTCAGACCCCCTCACCTCCCAAATCAGAGCCCAGGAAGCCTTTGAGGGCCCCAAATCGTTGAATACCGAAAGGAAATTAATGATTGCTGCGTTTCCGCACTTCCCCTTCTATACGGTTCCGAGGCTTGAGCAGGGCCTCCAAGGGAGTCGCTGGACGCAAGAAGCGACCAACATGAGATTACATGGGTTAGCCGATCAAGCCTAGTTAGAACTTGAGCGCGCGCGAAGCGCGCGCGATGGTTCCAGTAAAAGATCTTACGCAATGTATTCCCTGCGTAGTTTTGTTTACGTAGTGTGTATGTGTGTTTGTTGTACGTAGTGTTGTTTTCTTGTTGTTCGTGGTGTTGGTTTGTAAGTAGTTGTTTGTTGTACGTAGTGTGTGTTCCTGTGTAGCGGTTCCTGCGTTGTTTTGCGTAGCGTTTCTTGTGTAGCGTTTCCTGCGTTGTGTTTCTTGCGGCGTTCTTTACGTAGTGTGTTTCCTGCGTAGTGTTTCTTGCGGTGATCTTTACGTCGTGTGTTTCCTGCGCAGTGATTCTTGCGTCTTGTTTCTTGCGTCGTGTTTCTTGCGGTGTTCTTTACGTAGTGTGGTTTCTGCGTAGTGTTTCTTGCGGTGGTTGTTACGTCGTGTGTTTCCTGCGTAGTGACTCCGGCGGTGTTCTTTACGTAGTGTGTTTCATGCGCTGTGTTTCCTGCGTCGTGCTTCCTGCGTCGTGTTTCCTGTGGTACTCTTTACGTCTTGTGGTTCTTGCGTAGTGCTTCCTGCGGTGTTTTTTTACGTCGTGCGATTCCTGCGTAATGTGTCCAGCATAGTTTTTTCTTGTGCAGTGTGTCCTTCGTAGCGTTTCCGGCGTAGTGTGGCTCCCGCGTCGTATTTTGTACGGTGTTCTTTACGTAGTGTGGTTCCTATTTACGTTGTGTTTCTTGCGGCGTTCTTTACGTAGTGTGTTTCCTGTGTAGTTTGTCCTGCGCAGTGTTTCCTGCGCAGTGTTTTTGCGTACAAATACATTGCGTTATCATGCGTATGTCAAAACATTGCGCGTATAAAGTCAATATACGCTTCAGACCAATCCTCCCAAGGGACTCTCCGCCACGCAGTGCCCCCCTCCTCCTCCTCCTCCTCATCCTCCTCCTCCTCCTCCTCCTCCTCCTCCTCCTCCTATTCCTCCTCTTCCTCCTCATCCTCCTCATCCTCCTCATCATCCTCCTCATCCCTCCTCCCCCTCCTCCTCTCCTCATCCTCCTCCTCCTCCTCCTCCTCCTCCTCCTTCTCCTCCTCCTCCTTCTCCCCGTCCTTCCCCATCGCCTCCTCCTCCTCTTCCTCCTCCCCCTCCTCCTCCTCCTCCTCCTCCTGCTCCTCCTTCCCCCCCCTCCTTCGTGGGCTCCCCCCTCCTCTGCTGCTGCTACCCCGGATGGCCCAGAACTCCTGGCGGCGCCCCAGGGGGGGATGGCGTGAGGGGTGCGGGCTCCTCTGCACGAAGGAAGGGGGGCTTCTCAGAAGGCATGGGCCTTCTCCCTCCTCCTCCTCCTCCTTCTCCTCGTTTCCTCCTCCTCCTGCTCCTCCTCCTCCTCCTCCTCCCCCTCCTCCTCCTCCTCCTCCTCCTCCTCCTCCTCCTCCTCCTCCTCCTCCTCCTCCTCCTTCGTGGGCTCACCCCTCCTCGGCTGCTGCTCCCCCGGATTGCCCAGATCTCCTGGCGGCGCCCCAGGGGGGGCTTCTCAGATGGCATGGGCCTTCTTCCCTGACCTTCCAGAGTGCTGCAACATAGCCCTCCAGACCTACAGACCTATCTGAACTGCCTACCACCTCGACAGGGATTTAGATGCCGAGGTCCTGGCGTGATATTTGATTCCCCTCCTGGAAGGTCAGGGCCAGAAGGGCCCAGCGTCTTCTCAGAAGGCTTCTTACAGAAGCTGGGCGGGCTTCTCCGAACCCCTTCCTGGCCTTCTCAGAAGCTCCGTCGCCTCAGAAAGCCCCCCCCCCCCCCTTCGCGCCACCCCCTCTTTGGGGCGCCGCCAACTCGCCGACGAGCTGATTTCTGCTCACCCCTGGCGCTCTTTCACGACCTGGGCTTCGACAAGGCCCGCTCCGAGGGGCCCCAGGGCACTCAGAGACGCATATCTGGGGGGACGCAAAAAGCTGCCCCCGGGGAAGCGGTCGGGTCCGCTGGGGCAGCGGATACTGGAAACAGCTCGGCGGATGCCAAGGGCCTGTCTTTCTGAGGGTCTGGCGATGGACCCCGGGTTGCCGGGCACGCCCGCCGCACCCCTCTCCTCCCCCGGACATAACCTGACCTGCTCGGAGGCGCAGGCCCGAAAGGGGGCTACGCAAGCACTGGCGCGCGCGGGCATACGTGGGGCTGCCCAGGGCGAAACTTCTAGGCTTACCGGCCGGCATCTTTCTCCACCCCCCGGATAACTTAGGCATCGCCGAACAAGACAGATTTGGATCTCCTGGCCTATCAGATCCGGGCGCGGCTAAAACAAATGCGACGGCCAGGGTTTCTTGCTGTTTGGTTCGGCATCCGTGGGTAGCCCCTCCCCGACCCAGGGACAGGCAGCCAGCTTGGCGACGAGCCCATCCCTGTGCAGATGCGAGTGGCCATCCCTGTGCAGATGCGAGTGGCGCCGGGCGTGGCTTTCTCTTCTCATACGTCAGAGAAGGAAGCAGTACCGATACCGCTACCCTTCACCCAGTTTCCCCTTTTTCGCCCTCCTGGGAGGCGCTCGTCGCCACCGCTGGATTCGCCTTGAAAGCTAGGTCAGAACGCACCCAGGAGAGGTCGTGGGCGTAGCGGTAATTATCGGTACCAATTCACTGCCCCAGTACGGTCGGGAACGTTTGAGCCTTTGACGCCTTTGAAACGTTTGAGCCTTTGAAGCGGTTTGGTCCACTTCGCGGTCCCGAGGCGGCAATGTCCTCAGCCTTTCCCAGGGTCCCGCCCCGCAGAGCGGTGCGACAACCTGTCCGATTGCCAGGGATCGCGTGTCGCCGGGCGCGCCGTGGCGACACGCGATCTAGAAGTTCCTGACTGCATTGCGCACCGCAGGATTCTGTGCACGGGGGGGCGCTTGGCAAGAGCGCAGACGCATACTGAACTCCTCGTGGGGCGCGAGACGTGTGGTGATGGGTGTGACAAAAATGGGCGGGGGGCGCCATACGGGCTCTGCCGCTGGGGCCTTCGGTGTAGCCCCCTGTGGGGTCACGAAACGCGTGAAAGGTGCGCCGAAACGGGTGGGGGGACGCCATGCGGACGTCGCCATTGGGGCCTTCGGTGGAGCTTCCTTTGGGGCCACGAAACGTGTGAGGGGCGTGCTGGACTGGGCAGATGTCCAGTGGGGTCTTAGGTGGAACTCCATGCGATGGCACGATACATGTGAGGGGTGTGCCGAAATGGACGGGGGATCGCATTCGAACTTGTCCACTGGGGCCGTAAGCGGAGATCCGAGTGGGGCATGACCCGCGTGAGGGGTGTGCCGAAGTGGGCGGGGGGCAGCATGCGAACTTGCCCACTGAGGCCGGAAGTGGAGTTCCCTAGGGGGGGGCACGGTCCGCGCGAGCGATGTGCCGAATTGGGCGGGGGGACCGCACGCGAGCTTGCGTAGTAGGGCAGTCTGCCGAGAGGAGCGCGAAGCCTCCGAATGGGAGCACGATACCCGTGAGCGGTGTTCCGAAAGTGGGGGGGGCCCATGCGAGCATGCCCACTGGGACCGTCGGGCGCTCCCTGTGGGCCAGGATACGCGTGAGGGCCGAGGCGAGCGGGGAACCGCGTGCGAGCTTGCTCACTGGGGCCGTGGGTGGCGCACCCTGTGAGACACGGTGCGCGGGAGGGCTGTGCCGAAATGCGGGGGGGTACTGCATGCGGAGTTGCCCGCTGGGGCCGTCGAGTGGAGCTCCGCATGGGAGCACGATCCGCGTGAGTGGTGTGCCGAAGTGAAGGGGGGGCCGCGTACGAACTTGCTCACTGGGGCCGTAGGTGGAGCTCCCTGTGGGGCAAAGGTCTGTCTGAGGGGTGTGTCGAAATAGCCATGCGGAGATCAAAGGCAAGGAGTGTCGGGAGAAGGAGGAGGAGGAGGAGGAGGAGGAGGAGGAGGAGGAGGAGGAGCGAGCGAGCGAGCGAGCGAGCGAGCGAGAGGGGGAGGAGCCACTTTGGCTCCAGGGACACCAGGCGGCTTCCGGCCAGCCCGCGCACGCCCCGCACCCGGCCAGGCCAGCCCACAGAGGCCCCATAGCCGCGAGATGCAGCCGAGCCTCTTTCGGCAGCGCCTGCTGGAGCTCGCCGCCGAGTACGAGGCCCAGCACGCGGCGGCGGCTCGATCCCCGAGGCACCGCAGCGCGGTCTCCTTCGCCGAGGCTCTAGGCTTCCCAGATGGGGTCGGAGCAGATGGGGTCGGAGGACCGTGCCGCATCGCCGAGACATCGCCGAGGCATCGCCGATGCGGCTCGGTGCGGAGCCCGACCTGCTCCGCGTCGGCGTCGCCGATGCGTCGCAGATGCATCGGCGCCGCTGCGGCGCGACCCTCCGACGCCACCTGCTCCGACCCCCTCGGGGAGGCCTCTCGAGGCGCCCGACGGCCCGGCCGAGGACGGGGCGGCGGAGGGCAGGAGCGGCGGTGGGCCAGCCCCGGCGGCGGGCGCTTCGGCGGCCGCCGACCGTGGCGAGGGCCCGCTGGCGCCAGGAGGGAACCTCGTGGCGCTTCGCGCTCCCCCCGTAGAGCCGCCGAGGCATCCCGTGGAAAGCTCGGATATGGAGTACAGGGAGCTGGCGAGGAGCTCCAGAGCAAGTTCAGATCGAAGAATCAACAACGCCACAAGCATAAATTTGTGGCGCTCCGCGAGGATTTCTTGGATCCGCGCTGCGCCCCCCTGGCGGCGCCTCCGGCGCCGCCCCTGGCGCGCTCCGCGCGCCAGGGAGGGGGCTCCGGCGCAGATCCAAGAAATCCGCGCGGAGTGCCCAAAGTTTATTCTCATGGTGTTTTTTCTTCTCCTAACAGAGCTGACGAGGAACTCAAGAGCAAGTTCAGCGGGTCTCGGATCACTGTGCGGTTCGAGCCCCGAGGCAGTCCCCATCGCCGGCAGGCGTGATCGCAGCAATGTCTCCACATTCGCGGACGCACGCAGCTCGCAGATTACCGAGGCAAGTGTGACGCAGTCCGCCTCCATGCAAGAGAGAAACAGGTTCTGCAATCGCGTGAGGAGGTCTGCGATCAATAGATCGAATAGACTATCGCAACAGCTAAATACTAAAAATGATATTGCCTCGTTTGTGAAGAGCCGCTTCTTCAGCGCTGTATCCGCCTCCGTCATCTTGGTGAGCACAGCGCTGATTGGTATTGAGACCCAAGCTCTTTCCAGCCTGTCCAACCAAAGGTCAGGGTCGGATCACCTCTTAGTTTATCTATCAGTATCGAATCACTGTCTCACGTTTCTTTACCTCGCGGAGGTGGTACTGCGCATAAAAGTCTTAGGAATCATGCACCCCAAGGACAGGTGGTGGAATCTATTCGACATCGCCATCCTGCTTCTGGCGCTCGCCGAGGTTATTCTGGACATCGTCGTGCGCGCGTTCTTCGGCAAGGATAGCAACCTCTTCGATAACGGTGGAATGGCGAAGATGCTGCGCCTCTTTCGCCTTGCCCGGCTTCTCCGCATCGTTCGAACGTTTCGCCAATTGAAGCCTTTGCGAGTGCTTGTGCATTCTATCGCATCTGCCGGCAAGTCTGTTGTTTGGGCTCTCATGTTGCTCGTCATGATCGTGTTTGCCTTTGCAGTTATCTTGACGCAGGCTGTGTCTGAGCATACCGAAGGTGGCACCCGAATAGATGACGGTGATCTAGTCAAGTATTACGGAGACCTTTTCCGGTCAATGTTGAGTCTTTGGATGGCCGTGTCTGGGGGTATTAGTTGGCACGAGCTCACCGCGCCCCTGAAGGAAATGGGAACCGCCGCTTGGATGATGCTGTTTCTATCATATATTACCTTCGTATATTTCTTCGTGCTCAATGTGGTGATCGGCTCAGTTGTTGGAAGCACTTAGGGCGTTTGTTGCGTCACATCGTTTCATTTTTGCTGGTCAATGAAACATGTTGCTCATAGTTATCGGGTGAATGTGTCCTTCGTGTCCACGTCACCGTCACGCAACGAGTCGAAATCGTTTCCCTAGTGAATTGTTGGGGCGCGTTTGTAGTCTGCGGCGTCGCCTCTGTAGGCCCACCTTAGCTTCGTCCTAGGCCATGTGGGCGAAGTTGTTTGTCTGAGACAGTTTCCAACACGTTTCCCATGTGCGTTATCAGAGCGTTGTCGTCCCCTCTTCCGGTAAATACTCCCTCTCCATGGGAGCGTGTTATCATAGTTTCTAAGGTTCACGCCGCGTGTAATAACAGTGTTTCCCAAAACAGTTGTTTCCACTAGTTGTCGGTTGCAGTTTGCTTATCGTTTCCTGTTCCATGCTATTGGCTAACAAGACGAACAATGATACAACTATAACAGACTCGCCCTGCACGTTTCCAACAATCACTAAGGTGACTGGTGTCTTCTGTCAGAATGCAATCGAAGGGGCTCAAACGGATCTGGATCTCACCATCGAGGCCCAGTTCAAGGAGAAGGAGGTATACGCAAACCGCCTGAAGCTGCTCTTCGAGGAGATGAATGCGGATCACGATGCCAACTACGAGGGGCTGACAGCAGCCGATATATACGAGCAGATGGAGAAGCCAAAGGTGCAGTCGTGGTTCAAGGCTATGGACATCGACGCGAAGCAGGCGTGGAAGTTGTTCAAGGCCCTCGACCCAGCAAACTCTGGCATAATCTCTCTGCAGGATTTCGTGGAGGGGTGCCTGCAGATGAAGGGGTCGGCTACTCGCGTTGACGTGGAGTCGCTGAAGTGGGAGATCAGAGCTGCGAATAGGCGCGCCGAGCGCAAGGCTGAGAGAATCGCCCAGCTTCTAGAAGCCATTCCAGGATCGGAGGTCGCACTTTGCGCCGCCTGTCGCGGATCTGGTGCCGGGTGACGGAGGTGGGCTCAGTGCCTCCTCGTTTTCTCTTCCCTCTCCTCTTTGGGAGGGGGAGCTGGGGCATGCCGGTTGCTCTGCAGCTGCGAGATGTACGCGACAACCTAGAATGTTTAATTATTGGTTTTTGCGAATCGTTGTTTTTGAGCTCCCTGAGCGCACTAAGCTGTCTCGGGTGGGCAGCGAGTCACGGCCGACCTGGTCTGCTCACCGTTCCTTGATCTGTCAGATTTGGAAGACATCGTCTTCTGACAGTCTCCATGTTCCCGTGCCCACCTCGAGACTCGAGGCTCGAGTCGCCAGTCGGCGTCTGGCGCTCACAGCCGACGCTGCGGACTCAGACGGGGCATTTCATCCACACGAAGCTGTGTGTACGAGTATGTGCTGGGCGCGTAGCTGCATCAGGCCCATCGTGTTGTTTTTGTTGCTGTGCAGGGCAGCGGCACCGGCATCTTTCTCCCATCTGATCTGACGCGGGGCTCACGCCAAGGTGCCTTGAATCCCGCTGCTCGCCGCCGTCCTCTTCCGTCTGCCCGGGCGTCCGCCCCGGCGCCCCGGCTCGAGCCCGCGGGAGGCGCCGGCTTGCCTCCAAGGGAACTATAGTTCCCTTGGAGGCAAGCGTGAAATCGAAATCTGGAAATGAAATCGTGAACTCTAATCGTGAAATCGTGAAATCGAAATCTGTATCGTGATTATACATGTAACGGGGGACCGGTTCCGGGGCCCGGGGGCTGGAGCCCCGACCACAAATGTGGTGCCCGGCGCGCCGGGAGCCCTGCCGGAGCGCCAGGGGAGTCCAAGATCGCCCGAAGATGGCTTCGGAACGCTCGAAAACGCGCTCCGATGGCTCCGGATGCCTTTCAAGACGACTCCCATGACGCCAAGACGGCCCCCGAAGACGCCCCAAGAGGCACCTTGAGAGAGCTCCAACAAGCAAGAATCGTCGATTTCCTATGAGGAAGGTGATGCTTTTGCCGTGTTCGCCTTTTAGGCTTCCACTGCGTCCAAGACGGCCTAAGAAGCACCCAAGACGGTCGAGGATGCCCCCAAGAGGGCCCCAAGACGGCCCACGAGGGGGCCAAGACGGCCTCCGAGGCGCCCAAACCGCCCAAGAACGCCCCGAGTCGGCGCCCAAGACGGAGACGAGGAACCGAAGATTCGAGCGCATTGGCCCAAGAGGCCCCCAAGAGACCCCAAGAGGCTCCGAGAAGCGCCCCAGAAGCTCCTAGAGGCCCCCAAGGGACCCGCAAAAACACTAAAAGAGGCCCCGAAGACGCCCCAAGAGGCACCCCAATAGAGCCCCAAATAAGCAAACATCGTTGATTTCCCACAGGAAAACTGATATCCGTAAGGGCTTCGCCCCCTGCCGCCGGCCCCCTCTCTCGGAGAATGGGCAATGGAATAGCGAAGTCATGAGGCTTTGGCTTCACCGTGAAGCAGCGTCGGAACTTCATGCGAAGACGATGGGTAATTGGCAAGACGAATGTAGATTGCGAGTCTATTGTTGTATTCGCTGTTGTATGAATTTCAGAAATGTGGCAAATCTATATGTGTTTGGACCCTTACCCCGCCGATCTGTGTGAGGGGTGCCACCGGATTTCAAACATGTGGCGAATCTTGTGTGTGTTTTTGGACCCTCACCCTGTCGTTCCGCGTTAGGGGTGCCACCGAATTTCAGAAATGTTGAGAATCTTTTGGGTTTTCGGACCCTGACCCCGCCGGTCTGCGTGAGGGGTGCCATCGAATTTCAGAAATGTAAACAAATCCCGTGTGTTTTTGGACCCTGACCCCGCCGATCTGCGTGAGGGGTGCCACCGAATTTTTCAACATGTGGCAAATCCCTTCTGTTGTTGGACCCTGACCCCGCCGATTTGCATGAGGGGTGCCACCGAATTTCAGAAATGTGGCAAGTCCCATGTGTTTTTGGACCCTGACCCCGCCGATCTGCGTGAGGGGCACCACCGAATTTTACAACATGTGGCAAATCCCTTCTGTTGTTGGACCCTGACCCCGCCGATCTGCATGAGGGGTGCCACCGAATTTCAGAAATGTGGCAAATCCCATGTGTTTTTGGACCCTGACCCCGCCGATCTGCGTGAGGGGTCCCACCGAATTTCAAACATGTGGCAAATCCTTTGTGCTGTTGGACCCTGACCCCGCCGATCTGCGTGAGGGGTGTTAATTTTTACCCACCCCAGCAATTCAGAGCACACGCTCAGGGCGTGCTAAACCTGCCCGTTTGGGCCTCCCCGCCCTCGCGCGGTCCTTTAACAAGGAACAGTAAGTAGCAAGACGCAGAATTATAACAGTGGAAACTGTAAGCTGCAACTGGTAAAGGAATCTGCGAACCTTCGGCCTACAGCCTGGTGGCCCCACAAGGGGGCTGGCGGATTGATGGCGTGTTCGCCCTTTGCTTCCACTGCGTCCAAGACGGCCCAAGAGGCACCCAAGACGGTCGAGGATGCCCCCAAGAGGGCTCCAAGACGGCCCACGAGGGGGCCACGACGGCCCACGAGACGCCTAAACCGCCCAAGAACGCCCCAAGTCGGCGCCCAAGACGGGGACGGGGAACCGAAAATGCGAGCCATTTGGCCCACGAGGCCCTCAGGAGACCCTCAGGAGACCCCAAGAGGCTCCAAGAGCCCAAGAAGCCCCAAGAGGTCCCGAAGAGACACGCACAAACACAAAAAGAGGCCCCGAACACGCCCCAAGGGGCACCCGAGCCCCAAGAAGCAACACTTGCCGACTTCCTATAGGGAAACTGATGTTTTTTTCCGTGTTCGCCTTTTGAGCTTCCTTTGCGTACAAGACGGCCAAAGAGGCACCCAAGCCGGTCGAGGATGCCCCCAAGAGGGCCCCAAGACGGCCCACGAGGGGGCCAAGACGGCCTCCGAGGCGCCCAAACCGCCCAAGAACGCCCCGAGTCGGCGCCCAAGACGGGGACGAGGAACCGAAGATTCGAGCGTGTTGGCCCAAGAGGCCCCCAGGAGACCTTAAGAGGCTCCAAGAAGCGCCCAAGAAGCTCCAAGAGGCCCCCAAGAGACCCGCAAAAACACAAAAAGAGGCCCCGAAACAGCCCCCCAATGGGCCCCCAAAAACGGCCCAAGAGAGCACCAGGGCGCGCCCAAGAGGGTCGACCAGAGAGCTGGTCCGACTTTCCACTCCACACAGGATCCGTCCCCGGCGTTGCCTCAAGCACGTGTTGCTTTTGGAGTCCTCACTTGCCTGAGACAAACTCCAAACATTTTTTCGCACAGCGATCCCTGTGTGTGTGACACGCTAGAACCTAAGCGCACGCGCAGCGCGCGCGTGGTTCTTATATATATATTATATATATATATATATATATATATATATATATATCAGTTTTTTTGTTTTTATGTATTTGCACATACATACATACATACATACATACATGCATGCATGCATGCATGCATGCATGCATACATAAATACATACATACATACATACATACATACATACATACATACATACAGACAGACAGACAGACAGACATACATACATACATACATACATACACATCTCTCTATATATATGTATATATATATATATATATATATATATATATATATATATATATATCGGAGTAGGCCACGGGGGGGTGGGCCGGGCCGGTGCCACTCTCCCCCATGGGCGCCCCCCGGGACCTTTGGGGGGTCACAGACCCCCCGGGGATCGCTCCGGGCCGCTTCCAAATTGCCCGCACGACAGGCCACGCGGGCCGTACAGATTGCCAAGGAAGCCTCAAGAGGCCCCGAAGACGCCCAAGATGGCCCCAAGACAGCCCAAGAAGCCCCGAAGCCGCCCCAAGAGGCTTCAAAGAAGCGTCCCAAGAGAGTCCCGAGAGGCCAAAATCGATGATTTTCCATTGTGTGTTTCGATGTGTTTGGTTTTGATCGCCTTTTTACTTTCCGACGCTCCAACAAGGCCCAACAGGAGCTCAAGAGCGCCCCAAGACTGCCTGGGAGGCCCCCCAGACGGCCTCAAGACGGCCCTGGACAGCCCCAAGACAGCCCAAGAGGCGCCCCAGAGGGCCATAGAAAGCCCAAGAGGACCCCGAGAAGGCTTCCAGAAGGGCCAATGAGGGGGAACAAAACGTTTCAATTTTATTTTTCCACCTTGAAAGCTTCCCAGGAGGCCCCGAGAGAGCCCCAAGACGCGCCAAGGAGGCCCCCAAGAGGCCCCGAGGAGGTCCAAAGAGGCCCCCAAAAGACCCCAAGCGGCCCCAACACGAGCGCCATCCCCGCCCCCTCCGTCAAGTTGCGTTCACGCCGCGCCACGTAGACGCCGTCGCGCAAACCTCTCGGGCCTGGGCGGTTCCAGGAGATGTTCCCGGAGGGGCCTCCGGGAACATTTGCTTCGGGGGGGCGAGGATCCACGCCTTGCCCCTTGCCGTCGTCGTCGTCGTCGTCATCGTGGGCGTCGTCGTCGTCGGTTCTTCTTGAAACTGTTCGTAGTTTTTTTGGAAGAGATTCGGGGTTCGGAGTTCGAGAAAGGTTCGGATGTTCGATATATGTAGATGTAGGTGTATCTGTATATGTACATGTATATGTATATGTACGTGTATGTGTATATGTCTATGTCTCTGTCTATGTCTATGTCTATGTGTGTATGTGTATGTGTATGTGTATGCTTCTTCTATTCTCTGTGAGCAAGCTCCTGCTGTCTCCGCAGCTTCTCTGCCCAAGTGCCCCCCCGTCGGCCGCGCGTGCGGACGCCTTATGCAGGCGGTCGCACAAGCGGCTCTCGAGGGCGCCGGGGAGATCTTCTTCAGGGGGCTGCGGGCCGCGCTCTACGAGCGGCTCGTGGCTGCCCCCCTCTCTGTGCTTCAGGACCAAGGGCCTCCTGCGCCTGCCTGGTCCATCCAGCAGGCGGACTCGTCCGAGGGCGAGGGGGCTTACTGCCCCCTCCCTTCGGCGGGTTCCGCCTGCCCCACCGTCTGCCTCGGGCTGGCGGTGGATCTGAGCGGCGGGGTCTCT